TTATAAAGAACTCATACAACTTAACACCAAACCCCCCCAAACAATCCAATTACAAAATGGGCAGGTGACCCGAATAGGCACTTCTCCAACAAGGACATAAAGGTGTCCGAATGCCGTGAAAAGATGCTCAACGTCATTAATCATCAGAGGGATGCACATTAAAACCATGATGAGATAATCACCTCACACCGGTCAGAATGGCTATGATCAATAAATCCACAAATACCAAGGGCTGGCAAGGATGTGGAAAAGGGACTCTTGTGTACTGTTGGTGAAAATGCAGATTGGTGCCGCCACTATAGAAAACAATATGGAGTTTCCTCAATAAATTAAAAGTGGAACTGAATTATGACCCAGCAATTCCATTTCTGGGAATATATCTGAAGAAACCCAAAGCACTAATTGGAAAGAATGTATGTATTCCTATGTTCGCTGCAGCATTTTTTACAATAGCCAAGATATGGAAGCAACCCAGTTACCCATCAATAAGCGAGTAAATAAAAAAGCGGTGGTATGTATATACAGTGGAGTATTACTCAGCCATAAAAAAAGAATGAAATCTTACCATTTGAGACAGCATGGATGGACCTAGAGAGTATTATGCTAAGTGAAATAAGTCAGTCAGAGAAAGGCAAGTACCATATAATTTCACTTACATGTAGAATCTAAAGAATGATAGGAATGAACAAACAACATAGAAACAGACTCATAGGTACAGAGAAAAGACGGGTGGTAGCCAGAGTGTGGGAGAGTGGCAGGAAGTTCGGGGCCTGGGTGGAAAAGGTGAAGGGGTTAAAAAGTACAAATTGGTGGTTACAAAATATTCACAGAGATGTAAAGTACAGCACAGGGAATACAGTCAATAATATTGCAGTAACTACCTATGGTGTCAGGTGGGTACTGGAAATGTTGGGAACCCTTTGTCTAGGGTATGATTGTCTAAATACTGTCCCGTATACCTGAAACTAGTACAAAATAATATTGAGTAAAAAATAAAATTTTTAAAAAGCTTATATAAAATACCTGTGAAAAAATAGATACAATGTTATGAGAGTATTAATCATCAAGTACACTGTTCAGAATGAGAAAGCAGAGAGAAATTTTGTACAATTTGCTTTAATGATTTTGTTTACCTTTTTATTGTGCATGCGGTTGCACATGATATAAAGAATAAAAGAGAATATACTTCACATTTCAAAGCATATCACAAGATGTAGAAAATAATATGCAAAATCAACAAGATTTGAGCACCCGATACCAACAGCCAGGAATTGGGACCCTGGTGCCTGTCCACTAGATACTTCTAAGAAAGGTGAAGTCCTTGTAGTTAAATGCTCCTCAGGCTAATTGGAACCAACCTCAGTTCCCAAAAAGTGAGCTGTATTAGCAGATGAGATTTATCTTCACATTTAAAAAGTTACCCCTGAATAAAGTTTTAGACCTGTTTTCACAGCCCATTTTCAACTAGAACATTTTTTTTAAATTCCACAAAAACAAATTTCTTAATTTGTAACTGATAACACACCTTAAGTACTGGCATGTACAACTATGTTCCAGAAAAGTGGAGAATTTCTGAAAGCACAAAGAAGTCATTAGAATGGAATTTGACCTGGACTATGTTGAAAAATAAAACTCTTGAACTTGTCACATCAGGTTGTATTGAAACTAGACAGTCAATTCCAAGGATGCAATTAGACACTTACAATGGGCCCCACCCATTTTTGGTATACACTGAGTACAAACACAACTCAACTAGGATGGAAATAGGAAAAGGAATAATGGGTTTCCCGAGAGCTTTGACTTTAAGATGCACCTCCAGTGTATCTCCTCTTTTCATGAGAAAATACTATACCTGAGATGGGGTCAGATGGCCTGTTCCTTTCAGTCTTAGTTGAAAGCTGCTCCTCTCTACTTATCCTTCAATCATTAACAAGTTTAATAGACATGACCTCATCAGTCATCACTGTTAAGGAAAGGTACCTTTAGCACGAGCCTGTGGATCTTTCTTAATATGTGTGATACTTTAGTTTCAAGGGTCATGTGTCATGTTTGAGTGCTGCATTGGAACCTTAGAGGCTCCTCTAGAACTCTTGACGTCTGAAAGTGGCAGTATTTTCATTTAACCTCAGTTTATGAATGTCTGTTCCATCAATATGTTTTCTGAAGCTCCTGATGCCTGGATAAGAAAGAAGTGTATTTTTAGCAGGGGAAGGCGAGGAGAGGCAAACTTAAAATTGCATTGTGTTCAATGTAATTGAACAAGATCTAAGATGATTCAATCCCTTTGTCCAGCAAAGAACAGCCTCTATAATGAGGTTGTCTTTGCCTACTTCAGTGGATCATTGAGAGGATTAACTGAGATAGAGAAATCCAGGCAGTAGGAACCAAGTAAAAGCATTTTCTTTCACCTTTAAAGAGCAAAGCTTTCGGTGAGGTGCTCAGGGCACAAGGGATGGCCTTTAGAGTGAGGGGGTAGGGTGATGAGACAGTTGCAAAGACAAATTAGTGGTCTTTATCCTCGAGGAATTTGCAATAGGTTACAGGAGCCCGGCAAACACGTTTAATTAGAGGGAGATGATGCAGTTAAAAGAAGGGTGGCAAAAGTGCCACGGGTGGCCAGTTAGGGTAGAAGCCAGCCTCAGGGGTCCAGAGTCATCTCTGAGCTTTTCATGTGTGTGGTTTTCTCCAGATTTGAAGGTAGACATAAGAGCTAACTAACATGCACTATGCAATTACTCTGAGAGTCACATTTTAAAAAGTGATAAGATGCGAGAATGATGCTCTTTGCATTTGAAAATTGCCTCCTTTTTACTGTACTTGAGGAAGTATTTCAAAAGCAAATGGCAGCCATCATTATAATGTGGGTGAAGGGAGACTAGGAAATGAGGGGGACAATTGTCAGCTCTTCCCAGTTCACCTTTGTCACCCAGGCACTGCCATGCTTCCACAGCTGTGCCATTAGCGGGCTTCCTGTGAACTAGGTCCAAGTAGAATTGCTTTCTGGAAGCTCCTGAACTGTTTCCCATGGCACTGGAATAAACAGTGAGGTGGAGGAGATAAGCATTTTATTTATTCCTCCTTTACAGGACTTATCCCCCGTCAGGATGTATTTTCAGTTATTTGCAGTCATGTTTTATCTTCTCGGCTGGATTCTCAAGTTCTTTGAGGGATGAAGGATCTCTCATTTATTTTTTAATAAATAAAACTTTGTCTAAAGCAGTTTCCATTATTTGAAAGTCTTGCTGACTGATTGAATGACATAGATCAATTTTGTTTGTTTAATAATGCTATTCAGGAGTATCTGAAATTATGTGTTCATTTGGTTTAGGCATATTTGAGATTCAAAAGAAATTCATTCCTTTAACCATTTCTAACTTACGCTCTTGGCATTTTCCCTTTAGTCCACCTGGGGATCAGCCGTGGTATGTTTCCTTTAGTCTTCATTCATGTTTTGGAAACTCAGAACTGTGGCTGTCAGAAGAGGGGATGTAAGTTACAAGTGTGATAGCTAAACCAGACACTTGGGTCTGGTAAACAGAAGACAGTGGGGTCCAAAAGAAAACGTAACGAAGAGATGTAGGAAGGCCAGTGTTTTTCCTGGTTGAGGCTTTCGGGGAGAGCTCGGAGTTATGCAGCATCTGGCACAAACATAGTGAACAGGTCCGCCTGCCCCTTCGGCAGCACCTCGTCATTCTTGGTTGGACGGAGTGGGCATCACAATTGCTTGTTGGCACAGTGTGCAGGCATTCTTCAAAAGCCCATTGTCTGGTGGTGCGGCTGTTGGTGATGATGAAGAAATTGGAGCCTTTTACCCATTTGAATGCTCTGCACCTGCTGAGGAGTTCCACACCTTCCTCCCAGCAGTAGAAGGAGGTTGTTTAATTTGGCTTCGGGCCATAAGGTGAATGTAAATACTTGTGTATTGGGTAATAGACATAGGCGGTAACTCGGTTTTAGAAATCTAGGAAGCTGATCACCCGAGCACACACTTGCCAGTGGGCAGTGAGAAGCAGATGGCTGAAGAGGACCTGGCTGTGTGTCGTCCCTGGTCACGCGGTGTGGTGCTGGGTTCTGGTTATCCCTCTAGCACAGGGCCTTGTCTCTGCCTGTGGCCAGCCTGGCGCTGCAGTCCAACCTGTACAAACTTCCCTGCTTTATTTTTCTCTATTTGTCTGTTCTATGTCCATAAGTCCTTCTAATGGGTCAGTGTGGAAAGAACGAAGACTAACCACAGTGCTTCTTAAAGAAATTTTTTAAAGTACCATCTACCCTGAGTCCTATTGCCTGTGCTGTACACAAACTCTGTGTGACTTTTAGGTTTGGGAAATTGAGTTAAAATTTTCTATTGGTTTGGGGTTTACAGATTCAAGGTTTTTAACTTTCCTTCTGCATTTACCACATTCAAATATCTAGACTCTGTAAAGGATCCATTAACTAGGAGATGTTTATGCAGAAGCAGTGGAATATACTGTGGTGATTAATAACTTGACTTTGGGTTCACATTCTGGCTCTGTAACTCCCATGTGACCCTGGGAAAGCCACTCCTTTCTTTCTCAGTGTATTCACCTGTAAAATGGGGTAGTTTTGTGACTACCTCATTGAGCTGTTGTGAAATAAACACTCAGGTGTAAGCACTCAAATATTTGCTAATGTTTACTGGGCATTTTGTATGATCAGTGTACAAAGTGTATACAGAAAAGTAGATGAAGTTGGCCCCAGTGAGAAGCTTACAGTGTAGCTGTGGCGAGGTGCTCACGAACCACAACCAATGGTGCTGGAAAAGCAGAGTGGGGAAGACGTGGTTTATAAGAGGGAAAGATCACACCAGTGTGGGAGTTATGCAGGATGAAGGAAGCTAGGAAAAATTAGAGAATAGGGAAATGTTCTACGTGGGAGGCAAGGACAATAAGAACAGAGGCCCAAAGCTTCACACAGCTTATCTCTGCTGCTTGGTTAAGAATCTTATCTGTGTCCTGTCTGGTGTGGCTCGGTTGGTTGGGGGTTGTTTTGCAAACCGAAAAGTGGTGACTTTTTGTTTTATTCCCAGTCAGGGCATGTGCCTGGGTTGTGGGTTCGTTCCCCAGTCAGTGCATGTACAAAAGGCAACCAATCAATGCTTCTCTCTCACATTGATGTTTCTCTCCATCGCTTTCTCCCTCTCTAAAAAACAAAAACAAAAATAAAGAAAGAGAGAAAGAGAAAGAAAGAAAGAAAAGAAAAAAAAGTCCTCAGGTGAGGGTTAAAAAAAAAAGAATTCCATCCTCCATCCCTGTAGTCTCAGGACCACTGAGCAGAAAGCCATGGAAGCAAGCGTCAGTCACCACGTTGCAGGGGAAAAGGAGTAGGACCTTCCACGTCTGGTCCGCCGGGTACATGCTGTCCTCACCTGCCTGCTACCACCAGTCCTCACTTGCCATTGTCTCTCCAGTCTGTGGAAGAGAAGAGGAGAAATAGGACTGATAAAGAAGAGAGAACATGATTGTCTATAAATCTGCAGATGGAGGAATCGTCTGATGGAGGAACGGTTCTGCGGAGCATCCGGTGAGGCTAAAAGAGGGGGCGGGGAAGCCCGTCAGCTGGGTTGTTGTGGAGACCTGCTAACCAGACAGATGGCGGCCGAGGCTGGTAATACCTTGTTGACACAAACTGCAAAACTGGAGAGGTAATAATAGGAGATGACCATCTCAACTTCTGCCGGCTGGGCAACTGGGCTAAAAAAAAAAAAATCTAATATCTTTTGGGCTTTTTAAAATAAATTTCTCAGAATACAACAATGGAAGTTGCTATATTGGATGTAACACTGACCACTAAGAAAGAATTACTTTATGATGTGTCAGATGCAGGAGCCTTTGAAGACAGTGATCATATGCTCTTAGAATTATTTTTAACAAGCTTTTTATTTTAGAACATTTTTCTTTTAGAGAACTCTTGAGAATATTGTACAGAGGACCCTCGTATACCTCACAGCAAGTTTTCCCCATCGTTGTCTAACATCAGTGCTACATTTGTCCTGGCTCACGAACCTGGATGGGCACATTATTAACTAAAGTCCATGTTTTATTCAGATTTGCTGCTTTTCCCTACTGCCCCCTTTTTTTCTAGGATTCCCATCTGGGACACCACATTACATTTGGTTGTCACGCCCTCTGGGCTCCTCCTGGTAGTGACAGTTTCTCAGGTTTTCCTTCTTTTTGATGATATTGACAGTTTTGAGAATTACTGTGGGGTGGGTTATAGCATGCCCCTCCACTGAGATTTACCTGATATTTTCCTCATGATTAGGCTGAGATCAGCTGCTATTCTCATCACGTCATATTGAGGATACATACAGTTTGTATGATATCACTGTTGATGTTGATCGCGATTACCTGGCTGAAGTAGTGTATGCCAGGTTTCTCTACGAAGCAGGCGCTCTTTTCTTTCCCCCTTTTTTCCACACCGTACTGCTTGGGATGAAGTCAATATGTGCAGCCCACACTTAAGCAGTGGCTATTATGTTCCTCTTCTTCAAAGGAGGAGTATCTGTAAAAATTATGTGAAATTCTTTTGCATGGGAGATGTGTCTGTTCTCCATTTGTTTATTCAATCACTTATTCTATCACTACGGACTCATATTTATGTTGTGCTTTGAGTTACAAGCCAATCAATACTACTTCATTGTCTTGTTCAGTTGTTCCCCCCGGACCCCCTTTTCACTTCCTCTTTCAGTCGGCTCCTTTGGTGCAACCCCGTCACTGTGGAGTTGTGTGTGTTTGTTTTTTCACCTCCTTCCTTTCTGACACTACAAGAAAGTCTTGGCTCATCGGGTGTATTTTCTGTCTTAGATCTCTTGGAACTTGTGCCATAGAGAAATAACTCTGGCCATAAGACATGATAACAGGGGTGTAGGACAGGAAACTTTAAAACGGCCCATGGAAATCCATTGGATCTCATGGATTTTAAGGGATATGTGACTCAGGAGGGATGAGAGATTCTGAAAAAGGAAATTCTGATGGCGCAAACAGGCTGAAACTTCATGAGAGAGATGGGGACAACATCAAAAACGACCGATGTGGCTTCCAAGGACACTTTATTATTCGTTTGGATTTTTAAAAGGTATGCACAGAAGACTTGTGATTGAGAGTTTCTAAAAATAGCATCAGCAGAAGTTACACAGCTACTGGTTTATTAAAACAGTTTCGTGGCGACATTAAATGAAGTTATATGGTTCACCAGCTATGTTAAAGTGGTAGCTCTTTTCACTACCCTGAAGTCATCTGTAATCTTAAGTCGCTCACTCCACAAATATTGAGCACCTACATGTAATGCGTTCGGGCTCTGGGGATGCATCAGTGAACAGGCTGCCAAAGTCTGTGCTCTCATGGAGTTTACATTCTAATTCAGGGAGGTGGGTAACAAAGAGGAATTTTTTACTATGACAGATGATGGTATATGCTATAGAGAAAGTAAAGCAGGATAAGGGAAATGTGGAGTTATGGGGTGGGGTGATGGGCTGGTTATTTAATAAAAGGTAGTCAACCAAAGGTTCTTCACAAGGCAGTGTAGAAAGCAAGGTAGAAAGAAGCAAGATAATGAATCATCAAAATATCAGTGACACACACACACACTGTACACTTAGACACATATACACATGCACCTTTGCTAGCCAGTAAAGAAGTTAAGTTTTATTTTGTAACAAACCATGGAAACCTACCTGTAAGTTCTAAAAAACAGTGCTGGTGAGGTGGTGGGGAAATAGACATACTCATGTACTTACCGATAATGTAACTGTTTGGAGAGCAGGCACACCAAGTGTCCATGGCCTTTGTTCCAGGAAACCTATACCTCGGTAGTTTGGACGTCAGCCACAAGAAACAGTGAGTACAAAACATATGCAGAAGTATGCATGGTATGTTCCAGGAATAGCAGGTTGATCAGTGAGGCTAGAGTGGCGTCAACAAGACAGTGGAAGTGGGAAGGCCAGTGTGATGGGGTGAGAGAGGCCAAACACACACTGAGCAGAGGTGTACTGCACACTTTGGGGGTGCCAGGCATAGGAAGGACATGTGAGCGGCTTTCCCCAGAGCTCTGTACTGCCAGGGACCTAGGTTTTGTAGGTTCTTCTTGGTCCTTGGGCTTTTTCTTTGAGGAGACAAGGAGCCTGTGGAGAGTTTTGAGTGGAGGAGTGCGGTAATCGGTTTTCATTTAAAAAGGTCCACCCTGGCTGTGCTGTGTGCCAGGGGTTCAAGGGAAGAAGCAGGGAGACCAGTTCAGAGGTCTTTGAATATATAGGTATATATTAATCTTCATCTATGTGCCTTGATCCTTTTTATGTATATTTTACATAGTAGTAATTGTGCATATACAACTTTCTCTTTGCATATGTCAATATTTTTCTTCTGTTGCTATACAGCTTCCAGGTTTAAAATTTTTAGTGGTTGCATAATAGTTCCCTATTACTGCTGTAAAAAATTACCTCAAATGTGGTGGCTTAAATGGGCACAAAGTTATGTGGCAGTTGTGAGGTCAGAATCCCTAAAATTGAGGGGTTGGCAGGGTTGTGTTTCTTCTGGAGGCCGTAGGGCAGAATCTGTTTCCTTGCCTTTTCCAACTTCTAGAGGCCAGTCGTATACTTTGACTCATGGCCCCTTCTTCTGTCTTTAAAGCTAGGAGGGTAGCATCTTCAGTGTTCTCGCTCTTCCCTCCTTGTCTTCTCCCTTCAATCTCTCACTTCCATTTCCGTCATCACGTCTCCTTCTCTGAGTCTGACCCTCCTGCCCCCTCTTATATGGACCTTCTCATCGAGCCAGGATCCCCTGGCTTGAGATCCCCTGTCTCAAAATCCTTAATTTCATCACATCTAGAACGTTTCTTTTAATTGTATAGGGTAGCATATTCACAGGTTCTAGAGCTTAAGGCCTGGACATCTTTTAGGGAGGGTGCTCTTCGGCCTTCCACGGTTGATAGTTTGTGGTTCCTTTGTCTATTCCTGACGTTGGGTACTTAGACTGTATATCCAGTTTGGGGCTGTTGTGAGATTCCTAAGGACATATTTGTATACCTGGATCTTCTTTTCTTTGGTAGTGTGTCCCTTAAGATAAATGTTCTGGTGTAGGGTTCCTGGAGCAAAGGGGATGAGCATCTTATGTATGTCATCTCCAAATACACAGTTACGTCGTCAGTAAATATATGAGTATGTCCGTTTCCCTGCAACATCATCGGCATCACTTCTTTTCACTTGACAGTGTGTCTCCATGGTTTGTTATAAAATGACATTTTGTTATTTTAATTTTTTTACTGGCTAGGTTGAAGTTTTGAGGGGTGTGTGTGAGCGCAAGTGTGTGGTATGTGTGGTACATAATTGTGTTTTGAGAACAGTGTTTGTTTTGCTTTGTAGTGATATGTGGCGCTACAAGAATAGAGGTAGACTGTTGCTTAAGGGGTAAGGCGAGCATTCGTAGATGACATCCGCAGAGCTATTTTGCTTTTATATCTCTAGCAAAGAAAATAATCTTCCTGATGAAAAGGGATTCATTAAGAGGGATCTAGAAGATGGCGAAAGAGCATGCAGGTAATTAGAGTGAGTTCACATCTCCAGGGCACACTAGATTGCATCTCCGAGCGTTGAAGGAGTGAGCAGATACCATCTCTGAGCCACTGCCAGTGACTGCTGACTAAAGCTTGGCTAGTGGGAGAGGTTCCAGAAAACCGGAGACATGCAGATGTTCTGGATAGCTTTTGAAGAACTCGAATTCCTCAAACTGTCAGTGTAGAAATGCAAAGAGTGAGCTATGAGTCCACAGAAGAGATGACATTTATCCTTAGGAGCCAGCATCATTTTACTAATGTGTAGTGATCAGTCCGTCACATTTTCTTTTTAAATAAAGTGTTTAGACTGGTAGCAGAAGAGAAATCCATACACATCGAAGCATTTGAAGAAAAGCTCTCATAGGTCCCCTTGCACACATGATAGAGAAAACTTGGAGGATGAGAGAAGAGTTACGTAAATTCACAGCGTACCCTATTCCTACGCCGTATCACGGTTACTGTCTGTCAGCCTGTTCCCAGTGGCAGGCCTTCAGCTTTCTCTTTGGCGCTAACTTAAGAAGATTGTGAAGACTTGGATAGAAATCTTTAAAAGCCATATATGTTACGTGGCTGATGACACAAAGTTCAATGGGTTAGCTAAACCTATAGAATAAATATTCACACTATGAAATAAATACCCACCAACTATGACTATGGGCCAAACCAACTAGATAATTTAAAGAAATAATGAGAATTTTTTTTTGTATAATGAGAATTTTTTAAAAACGAAGGTTTTGCTCATTGAAACTGGTTGATTTTCTTTTTTTTGGCTTTCCTGAATTTTCCCCAATTAAAGATAAAGCAGTAGTAATTATTTCAAGTTTAATTCAGATGTGGTGGGAGAATGCGTGGTTGATATGGGGCCATGGGATATTGTGAAATATTCTGGCGTGACAGAGATCCAGGTGCCAGCCCTGGTACTGGCGGGGACTAGTTGTCGTCTAGGGCAAGCAGTCGGTATTGCCTGTCTGGGTCCGAGTTTTCTTATCTCACAGTTGGGGGTGGCAGGGAGTGGTGCGAAACTAATCACTTTGCTCCATCCCCACTCTCATGTTCTATCAGGCATGTTCATCCTCGTGTTCCTCACTGAGTTTGGCCAAACTTTTAAATGGAACTTTCCACATATTTTAGCTTAAACAGACCCTTTCACACCCTCACTGAAAAGGCTCCATTTTCTTTTAATCTGCAAATTCCTTTGATCTCCCTCCTTCAGGGTCCTATTAAGACCTTCCTTATTCTCAGCTCTTCAGTCCAAGGTTAATTAAGCACTACACTCCACGAGCCCTGTTTGATTTTAGGAAGACTCCATTTTCTTTTTTTTTTTTTTAAAGATTTTATTTATTTATTTTTAGAGAGGGGAATGGAGGGAGAAAGAGAGGGAGAGAAACATCAGTGTGTGATTGCCTCTCTCACGCCCTCTACTGGGGACCTGGCCTGCAACCCAGGCATGTGCCCTGACTGGGAATCAAACCTGTGACCCTTTGATTCTCAGGCCGCCAGTCAAGCCACTGAGCCACACCAACCAGGGTGGAAGACTCCATTTTCTTTTGTTTAGGGCTCGGCCCCACCCCTGGGGATTTCTGGAAGAGATTGGAGTCTCCTCTTCACCAGCCAAAAAACAACTCCATGGCTCTACCGAAGGGGCACTTGCCTTTAGCATCTCCATTCTCCACCGGCGGACCCCAAACCATCCTGGTGACCATCCTGGTGACCGTCAGCTCCTGATCCCTGACACTTAGCTAGCTTTCTCCCCAGGACCACCACTTGGATTTAGTTGTAAGCATACTGAATAGTTAATTCTGAATTTTTAAGCTTCATATTTTCCCCCATATGTATCTTCATGTTATCATTTCAAAAGGGGTTTAAAATGCTTTACATGCCTTAATTTACTCTTGCCAGGTCTAATTTCCCCTATTGTTCATCATCAGATATGATCTAGTGTTTTTATCTTTGCTCTTATAGAAAACAGTGTATTACACATCTTCACACAAAATCTAGCCTTTTGCTTCTTTTGTCTTGTTTACTTAGGCTGAATTCTCAGAGTTGAGAGTCTCTAATTGAGGGGTATATTGGTGTGATCCTTGCTCCATTTTGGGGACCTTTATTCTGATTGATAGATCAATCAGAGATAAAGAAGAGAGATCAAGTGAGCATATTGTATTATTTCCTGAAAACGTAAAAATATTAAGAATTTAGCATTTATAGCAAAACATAAATGTCAGCCTCCTTCTAGGGCTTCCCTGGTCCCCTGCTCCTGCTTTCGGTGGGAGGGATATCGGCAACCACGGCACCTTTCAGCCTGCTTTTCCCTGAATCTCCCCTTGGGTTACTCCTACTGTGAATTCTTCCCAATGTCAGGTTTCCTTACTCACTTCAAGCGCTCCCTGCTCTGCTGTGCCTGTGCACGCTCTAGGCTTTGCCTTCTATTTACGTGACAACTACAGCTAACTTCAGGTTCTAAATCTAAGTTAATTACTGTTAATAGGTGACAAATGTATTGTCCAGACTCCTGTGTGCTCTGTCCCCGCCATAAATATATCTTGGGTTCACGTAGCACGTTTTTGGTTAGCACATTGGACAGAAAATGAACTACCTGCTCTGGCTGTGACTGCGGTAGAAGTCTCTCTGCTTATCTGAAAAATAGTTTTTTGACTTGCTGCCTGTGGCCAGTCCTCTTTTCCTGTGTCCTTGGAGGCCACCTCCCACCCCTTGCCTAGAAAGCTTTCCGAGCCTGACCAGCTCGAGATAAGCAGAGCAAAATAGGAAGCCGCTTCCAAGGCTCCTGTGTATGCCTGTTTGTGTCCAATGTTTGAAGTTTCTCCCTTAAGAAAAGAAAGATCTTAGAACTAATTTTTTTTGTCAGATATAAATGGTGCTTTGTTGCTAATAAGGCTTCATATTTATAAATAGGAAGTATTTAAAGTCTTTATGGTACAGGTGCTTTTAAAGGTGGTGTTCAGTCTGTCTGCTTTCTGTACATGTTTTGGGGCTGGGTAAAGTTTAAGTAGTTTCCATACAGGATGACACGGCGAAATGGAAATTAAGTGGCTGTCACCTGTGTAGTTAGCAACAGCAGAAGACAGAAATAACCTATTTCTTCTCTGTCGTCAGAGATGCCTACCATTAGGACAGAGATGTTTTCTGATGTATTTTCATCTCAAAAGTCTCTAATGGTGGACTTCTGTGCAAAGCAGGAGTAAAAAGTTTTAAGCAGAGCTCTGGTTCAGTAGCTCTGATGAAGTCACCAGAGCTCCTTTAGCAGTCGAGTTGTTTGCATGTCAT